ACTCAACTGAATTCTGCTCGCTCTAATAGCTGCATATCCAGCTGATGGCAGTAGAGGTGCTGTCATCTGTTACACAGATGATGTAGGCACCTAAATGTAGAAGATGGAGTTTCATTTTATTGGTTTATAAGACAAATAATTATACTTTAAGGGAGATTAGCGTACTTTAATTTTATTAAGTCTTCTGAATTTTTCTACTTCCAGTGGTGAGAAAGTCTGAAAGTTCATGTATTACCAAAAAAAATCAGTACTGAAAGTGTTTTTTTCTCTTTAACTTATAGTGCAGACCCAATTTGGAGTTCTTTTAGAAACAAATGATCCCAAAGATGCCATTTTTTATAGGGACTTTTTTAATAAAGAGCTGTTTCAAGAAACAAAGCAAAGTGGTCAAAACATTATTTTAAAATGGAAGCTGTTTTTTACAGTACTTTACAATAAGATGAAATAGAACATTTATGATATCATTTTCATAAGGTGTTATTGTGGTTAAAGGTAATGTAATTCCTGGATGTGTTTTTTTTAAGAACAAAACATTGTTCCTGCATCTCTAGCTGTTGTACATTCCACTACATTTCCTTACAGTGCAATGTTTCTAAAGTCTCTTTACTTACATAATTGGACTTCTAGGTAAATAAGAGAAGCATTGTATAATTGCTGCTATAAAGAATCAATACATGAACTGTTTTTAAGATCTAGTATTTAACATATAATGTATGACTGAAAGAATACCAGTTCTTTGCTAAAAAACTTACAATTTAATTCTTATGGTTACTTATCCCTACTGTAAAACTAGGGTCTTACACTTGCTGCTGGCTTTGAGGTAATAGCATACGATAAAACACTACCTCTTTAGCATGAATGTAATATCTTTGACTACCACTCCAGGTGGTAAGATGTATAGCTTGCATCTTCTGGCAGCTCTTATTAACATGTATATCTGCTACTTCTGAGTGTAATCTTCAAACAAAAATTTCTTAAGATGTTTTTTATAGCAATGTTGAGCTCCTACAAATGCAGATTTTAAAAAAATATAAAATCAGATCTTAATTCTCAAAGATTTTCTTTACAGTTCAGTGAATTCTACCCCCCTCCCTCTCCTCCAAAGAATACGTATCCCAGCTGATCTCCCTTCTCCTTGAAGCATTTCAGCAATGTCTTGGAATCAGAATAATTGGAAGTCATTGGGTCCAACCCTCTCCTCACATATAGTTTTTTCAAACAAATCAAATAATGCATATACAAATCAAATAGTGAATATACAGTCTTCAGTCTCTTCTCATCCTTCTCCTTCCCATAATAATTATTTTTCAGTAAACTAGTAAAAAAATGTGAAGGATAGGAAAACAAATGACTACCATTCTTTGCTATGGAATCTGTATTAGAATTTATCAGTATGCAGGTGGGTCATTTCTTAACCCACAGCCTCTTAGTGTTTGAAATAAAAGCATTATTAGTCCTATTCAATAACCTCTAAAGGAAAGAAATGAAACTATTAAATTTTATCATTTCTACCATTATACAGATAGCTTTGATTATTGAATTTAACTGGTATTTGTGTCTGGTCAAGCAACTTCTCGTGTTATGGGAAATTGTCAGGTTGCTGGCATTTTAAGTGAAACAAGCATTATACTCTAGTCTTGTAATAATTCTGAAACTTTTAAGGTTATTCGGTTTTGGCTTGGATTTTAAAGAAACCTAAAAACTTTAAGCATATAAATCCCATTAAATTTTAATGAAACTTAGACATCTAGCTCTCAGAAGAACCTTTGAAATCCTGGCCCATTTTTCTTTTATTTTCTTTGAGGTTTTTTATCAGTAACAAAACCACCAAAGTAAACTTGCTACTCTTTTGTGAGTGGAAAATAAGAACTGAAATATACTGCTAAATATTTTTAGGGTTTTAAGTGTCTTGTCACTCATCCAATTCAACCTGAAAAGGCTTAACTCTCAGCATGCGAGTAATCCCATTGAACTGGAACTGGAATGCATTTTCTAATTTCTTTAAAGTTGCATAAAAGTTGGCAATATGAGTATTCATGTTATTTACATTATGTCTTGGAAATACTTACTGGTTCTGATTGAAATATTCCATGTATTTTGAATTACATACCTTTGCTGTAGGAATTTATAAAAAATTTTGTATTGAAATACAATAGAGAGTGGCATTATTTAATGTCAAATTATAAATAAAATAATAAAGAATTCCGTGATTGCTTAACTTGCACTGGTTTTTTTATTGTTCCTCCAAGTGTTGTATCAGCAGAACAGACAGTAGGCACTGCCCTCATAGGTTTAGTATCTGGAAGACTTTATCTTAGACACACTATGTTCTGGAAGTTCAAGGCCCCTAACATGAAGCCTTGATCTTAGCAACTGAAGTAATTAATCAAGACACTGGAGTTTACTATAAAAGCACCAAAACCACCTCCAGTCTGGTTTCATGAGACATTTTGAGATACTATCCTCTTTTTCTGTATCAAGTACCTGATTATTTAAGTACTGTACTGCTTATATAGTTAGTTTGGTAGTAAAAAACGACTTGGTCTGTTCTGAGTCTGCTTGCAGCAAAAGCTTTGTGATCTTTCCTTTTTGAAAAGAAATCATGATATGTAAAACCACCTGTGGTGGGGCTGTGATGGCCAGCTCAGATCATGAACTCGGCTGACTGCCTATTCATGTGAGTGCTAAAATTGGAGTGTGGGTGGGGGGTGGCCATGCATTCAAGGAGAGGACTGAGACA